GTATGTATGTCCAAAATTCTGGGTTTATTTTGATCATAGTAGATAATATTTAAACAGATATCAATATTTAGACCATAATGATATGGTGACATTCAGCCTAGAGGCCATTGGTTATAAAAAGATTGATTCCACTATATTGAATGGCGTTTCTTCGAGGCATGCTTTAGAGTTGTACCCTTCCACAATATATTGAAAACTTAAAATGTATAACAGCTGATATCTAAAACAATATATAGAAGACAAGTTTCCCCGAAAAATGTTTACCCTAGTATTATAAAAATGGAATTGAGTTCCAATAAATTGAATTAGCGATAAAGAATGATTCCAATAATATATCTTGGAACGTTTAAATACAGATTCTTGTAACAAAAAAATATTATTTTTAGATACCCCAAGGGGTATATAAAATCCCAATAACAAATTTTGGTTTTATCTCTGGGAAAAAGGAAAAAAATACAAATATTCCCAAAAATCGCCATTTTAATGATATTACATGGTACAAATGCCCCAAAATTGTGGACCAAATGAGCCAAAAATAAATCCATTCGGTTGATAGTTACCCCTTAAAACAATTTTTAGCAAAAAAAAAAAACATTCGATTCTAATTTTTGTAAAATTCGTATACTTTTGTGAGGTAATTTTATGGACTTTTTTTAAATAAAGCCAGAGATGGGGACAGTGCAATAATTTTTAACTATCACTAATAATTAGTGGTAGTTCAAAATTATTCACTACTTTTGTTTAAGTTTAGTGATGAATTGAAAAATATAAGCCTCACTCAATAATAGTGATAGTGATATTTAAAATTTTTAACTAAAAATATTTTAAAAATAGTTAAAATATTTGTTTTTACAGCCTAGTGAAATAATTTTTTCTACACTAAATTATTAGTTCAAAAAATATTCCTGCACTATTTTTTTTTCTACGGAGAAATGTTTCACTCAATTGAAAGTTTAAGTTAATAGGTCAGTCTAGAAATGGTTCAAGTCAACCAAAAAACTCATTGGACGAATATTATTAATGAATAAATTCATTATTACATTCATTTCATTATTTACAACATTTCCAAGCTATTGCTTAAAAAATATCCAGTAATCACATCATTTTTGCAACTGGCTATCTAAATCTGTATTTTCTATTTTAATAGATGTATCTTTACAAAAATTTAATCATTTATTGTCTTACAAATTCTTTAATTTTCATTTTAAAAAAATTAGTGCAAAGAAAATTATTGCAGCCTTTTGTTAGTTACTGTTCAAATTTTTAACTATTTGAGTGTAGTGCTTTTTTCTACACTACCACTCAATTGAGTTATAGTTAAAAAAATAAAATTATCACTAAAAAATATTAGTGCTAAAAATATAAGCTTCACTATCACTAAGCTGCTGAAAATTAGTGAAAAATATATTTTTTTAAATAATATTTAGTGCTAGTGAAATATTGATTTAACTAAAAAAATAGTGCACTACCCCCATCTCTGAATAAAGCCAAATTAATTTATGTAAATGTGAATTTTTAAAGTTTTAAAAAGCGTGATATCAAAGCTAAGGACTGTCTAGACAATTTAACAAATTAATTTATTAATTTTGCACACAAAATACATTATTAAATTTGGTTTCATTTCATATTATACCTAAATTTTTTTTATATTTAAAATTAAAACTAAGTAAGTAAGTGGTCACTATGACCATTGTTGTGGTAATATGACTTAGAGCGGATTTTTGAGTCAACAATTAATAATCAGATTAGTTAATCTATATACAGTTAATCACAAAAATAAGTATACAGAAATACTGACGATTGGTTTTATTTAAAAAAACATATTATTTTTTCAAAAAACAAGAAAGTAACACATTTATTTATTAAAAACAATTATGATAATTATTATTCACTACTTTTTTTCTTCATATTTTGGTTCTTTGAGTTCTCGTTTAAGCTAAAGTTAAAAAGGTGCAAAATTTACGTCACAAAAGTAAGTATACAGATCATTTCAGTATATATTTGGTTTAATGATATTAACAAAATTTATGAAAATTTTACTTGTATTAATATAATTACTTTTTAATAAAATATTTTTTACACAATAACTTGGAAAAAATCTACTTTTAGTTCCGAAATCTTGAAATTTGGGCCGATTGGCTCCGGAATTAATTAGTAGAACAGTTTTTTTCTCATTTTTTTCCACTTTAGACCCCGGATTTTGGATCTGAGGGTCATTGAACCCTCCAAATGATGCATTGGAAATAGAATTTTTAACTTTTGAAAAGAGTTGTTATTTCGAAATTAATGTTATATGCATGGATTTGGCCATTTTGAACACAGTACGTTCTTAAAAAACCGAAATTTAAATCCGATTTCTTAAGACTTACAACATAAACTTTAAAATTTGGATAATTCTATATATTTTCTTTAATTTAAAAGGGTTTTGCAAATACTCCGATTTCCAAAGCATACAATAATCATATCTTGATATACTCGATACAATAACCATGTTTTATGGATCGGACATTTTATTTGTTCTAGCAACAAATTAAGATATATCCGTGTTCAAAATTGTTCAATTCGTATTCATACCACCAATTGAGCCTGATTTAATATAAAAATCTTACTATTTTGGACAATAATTAATTTCAGAACCGATATGTAGTTTAAGTTATTGACATGGTCACCATTTGACGATTATTGGTAGTATTTAGGAATGTGTAATGGATGATTGGAACCAAAAAACTTGTTTTAATTAATGGATACTAGTACAAATATTATTAATATCGCATTTTAAGATATACATTTTAGGAAATCGCCGTTAAATATCGAATATGAACGCTGTACTATGTTAAAAACGGCAATGTTCCGCAATGGATTGTAATTATTGTAAATAAACAATTAATTTAAAAGTTAAAATATCGTCTTCCAATGTATCATAATGAACAAACGAGGGATATTATTGAATACCTGATCCAAAACTCCGGGGGTTTAAATAGTCAGATGTTCTTAAATAGGAAAAAATGCTCCTATAAATAATATTCAGATCAATTACCAAAAATTTCAATTTTTCGGAACAAAAAGTGAATATTTTCCATGTTATTGTGTACAGAATATTTTATTATAAAATAATTACATTCAAACAGGTAAAATTTTCATGAATTTTGTTAATATCATTAAGCCAAATACATATTGAAATTATCTGTATACTTACTTTTGTGACGTAAATTTTGCACCTATTTAACTACACCTTAAATAAGAACTCAAGTAACCAAAATAACCCAGAAAAAAGTAGTGAATAATAATTAGCATAATTGTTTTTAATAAATAAATGTGTTACTTTTTTGATTTTTGAAAAAATAATATCCTTTTTTAAATAAAACCAATTGTCAGTATTTCTGTATACTTATTTTTGAGATTAACTGTATATAAAAATGAATGTGTGTTTATTTGTTTGTGGGTTTGTTTGAAGTCTATAGACGCCTAAACGGCTGGACCGATTTTCTTGAAATTTTAACAGTATCTTCCTGTATATATGGAAGGAACTATAGGCTACTTTTTATTTTAAAATTTCAAGTAGGCGAGTTGCCACGCCTACTTATTTAATAGCTATTAAAAGTCATATATCTTGGAAACTGGTACAATTGGAGTTCTCAAATTTTGCACGGACAACTTTGACATCCATAAGAACGTTTTTTTTTGACAAAATGGGCGGAATGACTATAGTGGGCGTGCACCTTCCATATTAAGAAAATATTAAATCAGTATATCTCGGAAAATGTAACAGTTAGAGCCCTCAAATTTGGTCGGAGCCACATAAGTCTCAATGTGATTTGTTAGGATAAAAAATGGGCGGACTAGCAGCAGGGGCGTGGCACCTCCTTAATTAAATACACAAATTCGATTATCTTGGAAACTATTAGAGTTAAAAGCTTCGAATTTTGCAAGAAGAACTTTAGCATCCATGGAAATATTTTGGGTAATAAATTGGCGGACTGCCAATGGGGGGAGCGGCACCTCCCATATGAATTAAATACAACAAAATATTTTATCTAAGAAACTAATAGAACTAGATTCCTAAAATTTTGCAAAAAGGACTTTCATATTCATCTGAACATTTTGGGGGAAAAAAAAGCGGACTTTCATCAGGGAGTGGCTTGGAACCCCCATATGAATTATATAGAAAAATTTGTATATCTGAGATACTGTAGAAGCTAAAATCTTCAAATTTTACATGAAGAACTTTGACATTCATGTGAACATTTAGAGAAAAATTGGCGGACTTTCAATGGGGGGATTGGCCCCTCACATATTAATTAAATTGGGAAAAATTGGCGAACTTGCAATAATTTCAGTGGCATCTCCCATGTGTAAGTGGTTTTTTTTTTTTTGCTTTTAGTGTAGCAAAGCACACTGGGTATAGCTAGTCTAAACATAAATTTAATCTGATGTTAATCCCCTTTGATGTTTTTGAGTAAAGAATAAACTTCGCAGTGTTGCCATACAAAACAACAGAAAACGTCAAAACAATGCATGTTTTATAAAGAAGAAGAAGATAATTGTAAATTTAATATGAAAATTAATGAAAACTTAAATTTAAAACAAAAAAATATTTTGAAGTGTCCATAATTTATACTAATCAATAAATAGAACATTTTAATGTTTATATTTATAAAAATTGTATCAATTTTCTGCATCAGCTGTTTACACTTTTGCATTTCATGCTTAAGTTTAAACCACCTCCATTGGGAACTTAAAATTTTAATTTAATCGCAAATCTTTCACCTTAAGATTGGCCCTTAAAAATTATCCTAATGTATTCGTAAATCACACTACTGAATGTTAAGTTAAGCATTTATTATATTCTATTATAATAAATACATAAGACTATATTCATAAACAAATTTTTATTTTATAAACCTATTATAAAATAAAATGTTATTGAATGAGAGAGATAGAATTTAATATAATAAAGAATAGCGGAAATTAAAAATATATAGTTAAGTTATAAACATTACTTGTATTAAATGCCGGAAGATTTAATGGAGTTTTCTCTGAATAAAGTTTTTCATCCACACATTGATTACAATCCTTATCCATATCATCTGCTTTTAAGCCATCGTGTTCAAAATAACGCTTTCCATCGCCAAGAAATATTTCTGATTTAAAATTGTTACCTGAAAACATTTCGGCAAGGTACACACCTCCCATTGTATTATTTGGACCATGTACTTCATGATAATTGGAGATATTAAGTTTACTTGGAGGCGGCAGTTCTGCATTATTATTTTTCATTCGTATTAAATATAATCTATAACAGCATATTGGCCCATTTCTTTCACTAACTCTAGGTATAAATGCCTTGAGAACACATTTTTCACTGTTTATGCGTACTTTAGTCCACATGATACGACTTATTGATTCAGGCACTGAAACAGGCATTGTACATTTTCCAATAGCTGATTCTCCTGTTTTTCGATGGCGGGTTATTGCTGATACTGTGACAGTGTAATTTGTATTTGGAACTACACCATCATATGTGGTGTGATAATTGGGCTCATCAATTCGTCTTATTTTTGGACCCCATGTCTCATTATGAGTTTTTCCATTTAATTTATAAGTAGCTACTCCCTCCAATTGTATTTGATAGGAAATTACTTTTCCGTTTGGTTTCTCCGGATGCATCCAAGCGACATCTACAGTATTTATCTTTGACACATTATTATTAATGCATAAAACCTGTAGGTTTGTAGGTTTGGAAGCAATACCATCCATTGTAGTTCCGTTAACGATGTCTGACCAAGGGCCACACAACTTCGTTAAATCACAGCACGCACGGACTTTAAACTCGTATTCCGTTGCAGTTTTTAAATTATCGAACATGTAAGGAAGATTCCTGGAATTTTGCTGATATACAGCTTCTTCAACTATTTTTGGAACATCGCCAGCCTCCGATACCACAAGCTCATAGTACTGTACATATGGTATTAAGTCTAAAGGTGGAGGATCCCATCCGATAGTTATTGTGGATGCTGTACTTCCTGTAGTTTTTACCTTTGGTATAAAAATGGGGTCCTTTTCTAATGTTCTTACTGGAAATGGATATTGGAAAGCGTCTCCATTACCAATACTATTCTTAGCCGATATACGTAAAATGTAACTCGTGTTGGGAAAAAAATTTTCGAGAACATATGACGTATTACCACCACCAATTATGTCTTTGTAATATCTAAGTTCAGGATTTCCTTCTTGCAAGTATTGAATAAAGTATTTCTGAACTGGATCATTTCCATTATTAACTGTCCAATTTAAATAAATTTTACCAGCTCCTACTGATTTAACATATTCAATGTTTACTTTGGGCTCATCCATTACCAATAAAGCAATATTTTTCCTTGTTATTTCTTCACCATTTGACGCATAAACAACACATGCGTAAGAGCCATTTTCCTTTTTATAAACCTCTGTTAATTCTAGAGTAAAATTCACATGAGTTATATTTATTTTCTCTATATTTGAAGATTGATCGAGAAAATCAAATACATTTTCATCTTTTAACCATTTAAGTTGTTTTTGTAATGTCAAATTTTGAGGATAGATTTCAATAACACAAAAAAATTTTACCGGATTTCCAATTTTTTGTTTCACTTTTAGTCCATTTACTTCTCTAATATGTGGTTTCAAATATGGCTGAATGAATATTTTTGTAATTAATCCAGTTTCAATGGATTCGCAAGTATACAAGCCTTCATCCGAAATTTGTATATTTGATATAAATAACGTTATTTGATACATTTCTTGCCTTTCTGATATCTCATTGGTGTTATTATCATTTTTTTCTGTGGATACGGATGATCTAAAAAAAAAAGACAAGACATGGTAAATTTTTGTTAACTGGTCAAAAATTAAATTGTTTAGCTATAATTATTTTTTAAGGAAACAATATATTTTTGTTATTACACATTCGTGTTTTGTTGCTAACGTTCAAAGACAATTTCATATATGAACGCCAAAAGTGAATATACACAGGTGACATATTTTGTTTCATTATTATAATACAGAACATAAAAGCGATTTGTAGATGAAATTTGTAAAAGTAAAATCCTTAAATAATAACACTAGTTTACAACGATTTTGCTCATGACATAAAACCTATATGGTTTTGTTTATTTTGGACGTCTAAGTCCGGAAAATATATTTTAAAAAATCTAGGAAGTAAAATTTTTGAATTATTCATAAGAAAGAAAATGCTAAAAAAGGATTAAATTAGGAGGAAAAAATTGAATACTTAGATTTGTAGTTCATTTTTATATAAAAAATTTTACTGGTCTTCCTAACAACACTATAACAATGGATTCCTGTCACAAAAATATTAAAAAAGTATAAATGAGAGTGTATGAAATGAACTATGAGGGATAAATTCAGATCCGTAAGTTTGTAATTCAGGAAATTTATTTTCTTTCGAAATTTATTTTTTTAATTTAAAAAAAAAAATGTATCAAAAAATTACTAAAATTCGGTCCAAAAAAAAAAAGAAAGAAATCTGGTTGTTAGGTCACCGAATAATAATTACTAACATTATTATTTTTTTTGTTTAAATTTTCCATTTTTTATTGTATTTAAATTTATTCATATTTTTGGCTCACTGTTGCCACTGTAATTTGTCATTATTTTTTGCTTATACTAACCACTGTACTTATTTTTGGTAATGACCCGTTAGTTTTTTTATTATTTGTTTCTCACTCCAATTCTTATTACAAGCGTATTGTTGTTGCTCTTAAAAATGCAATTTATTTATTTGGAGACTTATTGCATGTATTTTGTTTTTGCATATTTTGAATATAAGTAAACAAGTTGAGTTGGTACATTGGAAGTGAGAAACAAATAATAGTACAACAACAACAGTGTAGCCCTTATTTACAAGATCAATTGTTAGGCTTAAGGAAATTATTTTTAAATAAAGATATCATTGTCAAAGTTGAATTCATTCGAACAACATCGCTCTTTTTATTTGTCGGTACCTCGGTCGTAAAAAAAGCTTTGTGGTTCAAATAAAAAACTTTTGTGCAACAAAAATAAAAAATTAAACATAAAAAAAAACTGTGAGAAAACATATAAAAAAAAACTATTCGAAAAATCAAGAGACAGTGAAACATATATAAAAAACTGTTAAACAAATTTTTGGTGACGTACCTATTACAAATCTATTTTTAAAAAACCTATTACAAACATTATAGAAATTATTCGTTTTGTCGGCTCGATAAATAGAAACAGTTTTTGCTGAAAAATAATTAAATACATAGTGTGTCTAAAATTTTACCGCTAATTTTTATATACAAAAACAGATAAATATATTCGGTTCCAGTACATAATATAAAGGTTTCTGTACACCAAATTTTTTGTCGCTCTCAAGATTGCGGTACATATGTATATAAAGTTAATACATAAAAGCGTGTATATAAACATTTTGGCGTAAAACTTTTGGCGTCAGTTACAGTGCTCTACGATACATAGTGTCATCCATTTTGTAAAATATTTTCGAACATTTTTGGCTCACTTAACCTTAATTTTTAAAAATTTATGATGATTCTGGAGGAGGTTAAGCAGCAACGGGCTAACACTAAGAAGAGCATTACCCGCATCAAGAACCAAATCGAAGCCAATGGAAGGGGAGAAGGTAAGACACTTTCGTCAGCCGAGTTGAAGTGCCGTTTGGGGATTTTGGAGTCGTATTTTAAGCAGATACTGACGTATCAAACCCAAATTAAAAAATACAATCCCGAGGACAATGCTAGGCCCGAAATCGAGGATTTGTACATCTCAGCCAAAATGAATATCCAGTCGCAGCTTGGTGAAGATGTTCATAATACAACATTGTCCGAGTCCACCATTTGTTTCCCAGCTCCCAGCCACAAATTGCCTCAGCTGAAATTGCCCACATTTAGTGGTAAGTACAGTGAGTACAAAAATTTCATTACGTCGTTCAATCAAGTTATCGATCGCGAGTTTGGCCTATCAAATATTGAAAAGTTTAATCATTTGCTCAACTGCCTCCAAGGCCAAGCTCTAGAAACGGTCAAGGCTTTTCAGATTACGAACGAAAATTACCCGAAGGCTCTGGAAAGGCTCAAAACGCGTTATGATAATAGCTCGCTTATTTTTATGGAAAATATTACCGCCCTTTTTGAACTTCCTGCCATGTCCAAATACAATTGTGCCCAATTACGAAGTCTCGTGGATAATGTTTCTGCCCTTTATAGTTCCTTGCTGTCTCTTGGCTCACATAGTGATATTGCTAATTCCATGTGTGCTTTGTTCCAAATCTGACCATTCAATTACTCGTTGTTCTCGGTTCAAAGACATGGATGTCAGTCAACGTTTCGATAATGCTGAATGACTAGGCCTTTGTCTAAATTGTTTGTCCAAAGGACATCAAGTAAACAACTGTTCCTCTACATTCAAGTGCAAATTTTGTTCTCGCTCGCATCATAGTTTGCTTCATCGGTCTCAGCCAGCTTCTCGGCCCTCGTCCCCTGCTTCTGAACATATTACTTCTCATGTTGCCTTGAATGAATCTTCTGCCTCGGTCCATACCCATATGGAAAAATCCTCGCCGGAACAGGTGCTGCTTGCTACTGCCATGGTTCTAGTTCGTGACTCCACTGGTCGCTATTAACTAGGACGCGCTTTGTTAGATTCTTGCTCTCAATTGAATTTCATAACCGATGAATTTTCCCAAAAATTACATTTGCCTCGTACAAAACAAACTACTGAAGTCTCTAGCATTGGTAACACTTTTAGCAAATCTAAATATAGGTCGTCCACAAATGTAAAATCTCGAGTCACAGATTTTGAAGTTTCGCTCTCGTTTTGTGTCACTCCTCACATTTCGTATCAACCTGATGATGAATTAGATGTCTCATCCTGGAATATGCCCCCAAATACTCAACTTGCGGATGAAAACTTCTTCAAATCAAAACGAATTGATTTACTTATTGGTACTGAAACGTTTTTCGACATTTTAGCAGTCGGTCAATTAAACTTGGTCCTAATTTGCCTAAATTACACAAAACACTTTTCGGATGGATTGTAGCAGGTCGTTATGTATCAAAACAACCCAATATTTGTGGCTCTTCTTGTATGCTCTCGATAGAAGAAGATATTGATCTTAAATTACAGCGCTTGTGGGAAATCGATGAAGTTCAATCTGGCTCAAATGATTTGACACCAGAACAATCTGAATGTGAAACATTTTTCAGTGATACTGTTCATACTGTTCATTGCCCTTCAAGGAATCGCCTGACGCTTTAGGTCTTTCTCGAAAAATGGCTCTTAAAAGATTTGTATCTCAAGAGAGACGATTTGCTCGTGACAGCAATATTAAATCCCAATATGTTGCTTTTATGAAGGAGTATGAAGATTTTGAACATATGAGTCTAGTTCGTAGCCTCACCATTGCGTTTTCAAACAAAGTAGCACTCCCACAAACTTAAGAGTTGTTTTCGATGCCTCGTGTCCATCATCGTCCCAGAAGTATCTCAATGATCCTCTTATGGTTGGCCCAACAATTCAAGATGAGCTGTCTACAATTTTACTTCGGTTCCGTCTTCATCGCTTCGCTCTTACTGACGATATAGTAAAAATGTATCGACAAGCCCTTATTGACTCCCAAGATAGAAAATTCCAATATATTTTGTGGAGAAATTCAGAAGAGGAAGAAATTCGAACATATCAGCTAAAACAGTCACCTATGGAATGTCAGCTGTGCCCAGTGTTGCCAAAACCTAATTGAAAAAAAGTGCTAGATTGTTTTGAAAAAAATGCTAGAAAGTGCTAAAAATAAAGAAACAAATGCTAGAAAAAGTGCCAACAAAAATAAGCTTTTTTATTGTAAAATATTTAAATTTAAATTTTTAAAATAAACTACATAAATAATATTTTTAGCTCCGTACGCAAATGGACCAACTTCACTTATTATGGGACGATTTGAACACATAACAAAATGTTTGTAATAACTAGTTTTAGTTTTTCGATTCTTAATTTATCCCAAAAAGAGGATTTTTTATATGTCCCCTAGAATTTTTCTAAAATAGCTTTATTTTTTGATATTTTTTAACTGCATAAATAATGTTTTTACCAGGGACAGAAAATAATGATTATTCTTAAAATTTAAAACAAAAAAATCAAATACAAGGATTAAGAGTATAATTTAATTGAATATACCATTTGTTTTCTCTAAAGATGCATTATCGGTTAAAACAATGATTTTTATTTTTTAAGTTTTATTTAAAAAACTTAATTTTAATTATTTTTCTTTGAGTTTTATATATTACTCAGAAAATAATAATTTTTCTTAAGTTTTATTTTTTTGTTCAAATCATAACGATTATTTTTGCTTTTTATATTTTTCATTGAAAAATAAAAATCAATTTTAAGTTTAATTTTTTAACTTGAAAAATAAAAATTATTCTTGAGTTTTATTTTATTTTTTCAAAAATAAAACTCAATATGAAAACATTTTCTTATATAAAATGTTTAGAGAAATTACTTTTTACAATACTACATGTAAATTTTAAGCTTTTCTTAAGACATTTTGAAAAAAAGGGCAAGTATGAATTTTAACTCTTCACTATCTAAAACGCATAGCTATGATAACCCTTTCACGTATACGGGACACCGCGGTTTGGTTTTGTGCGTGAAAGGGATAATATTGATATGTATAAAATGTTCAATATGGAATATGTGCGTCCAATATAAGGTTTAGTTTCCAATTCGAATTTTTATGTATATTTTGTCATTTCGTTTGTAACTCATCGTAGTCGTAGACTCACAAAAGTTCATACATACATACATATATTCTGGGTCCTTATAATATTTCATTTATATTTGTAAGAATATATTTTCATATTAAGTTTTATTTTTGAAGAAAATAATATAAAACTCAAGAATAACTTTTATTTTTCAAGCAAAAATATAAAACTTAAAAACAAATTTTTATTTTTCAATGTAAAAATAAAACTCAAAAGTAATAATTATTTTTTGAACAAAAAATAAGAATCAAGAAATAAGTTTTATTTTTGAACAAAAAAAATAAAACTTAACAATAAGTTTTATTTTTGAAGAAACAAATTTTTGCTTGAAAAATAATTATTAAATTTTAAGTTTTATAATATAATTTAAACAGTTACTGTCTCTGGTTTTTACCTTAATATGCAAACGTAATAAATCCACTTATTTTAGGTTGATTTTAATACGGAATTAGAAATGCTTATTCAATAAATTTTTATTATTTTTTTTTTTTTTTTGAATTTTTTAGATCGGAAGTAAACAACCAGATTCTGGAACTGCGACATTGCAACTAATAATATCGCCATTAATTCTCGAAACAGTTCTGTCGAAAAATGTTGTGAATAAAAAGTTTCGATGAAATCATTTATTTCAATATTTCGATTGTTACAAATATTTACATTGGGTTAGTAGTCCAGATTTTAAAAACAACTACTTCAAACCAGTGGAAAAATATCTCGAATTTATTGTAAGAAATTTTAATTATAATTGACGGTTTAGAAAAATGAATAACAATAAAACTAAATTATTCTACTTAAAATTTTTCTGCATAACATCTAAAATTAAAATAAATTCACTTTTTTGTCGGACAAAATAAAGTGTAAATTTTATATATCATTATTTAAATTTCTTGTATATCAAAATTTTTTATCTATTTTGGTTCTGATTTTAATATCTGTATCTATTTAAGCCATTTTGGTAATTTTGTTCTCCATTATTATTCGCAATCGCTTTCCCTTCCCCTTGCTATCCCCATATGATAATTTTCAAAAGAAATACGTTTTTGATCACTATTTCATCGGAATTTTTTGATAAATTGTGGTCCAAAATTAATCTATTGGATTTAGGGCGGTGCTCTGAGCAACTTATTTCAATTTTCAGTGATTTTTCCTACAGTAATGTTATTTTTTAACTTTATCAAGTGCTTAAGCTTATTATCTTGCCGAAATATAAAGTTGCCCAAGTCCATTTCGAAGGCACTGATCTTAAGATTTCACTGCAATATGCTCATATAGTGTTCATTGGAGCTTTTTGAATAAATTTCACCTAGGTTCCCCACACCTAACGTTAAAAATTGGACACTTACGAAGAGTCAACTGACCCATACCTTCAATCTTTCACCAACATATTTAAAAGCTTAAAATTTTTTTTCGATTTTAGTATTTAATTTCATATTTTTTAGATCAAATTTACGTAGTTGGTCAGATGAGTCCCAATTTCTACCGAAAATTTTGAAATGTCGACAATGAGTGTGAATTAAGCCCTTCAATATACAAAATTTAAAAAACAATACCCCAGGTTTCAAATATTATGGTGGAGGGCTATCGGTATTGTTACATTATTCAACTTTAAGAGCGAGAATCTTAGTGAAAATGGAGTAACTAATAACAAATGAACAATTCACGAGCTTATTTAATAAAAATTTGGAAATAAATGCCGTAAAAATGGGTTTGGGAGACTTAATGCCTCAACCGATTCATGACTTCAAAAACACGACTAAGGTTAAAAACATTATTGTAAAAAAAAAAACTCTGAAAAATTTGAATGACCTGCTCAGAGCATCGCCCTAAATCTAATAGATTAATATTTGACCACAATTGATCACAAAATTCCGCTGAAATAGCGAACAAAAACGGATTTCTTTTGAAAATAATAGTATGGGAGAAAGCAAGGGAAAGTGAAAGCGATTGCGAATAATAATGGTAAAATAATTACAAAAATGACTTGAGTAGATCCAGATATTCAAATCAGAACCAAAATAGATAAAAAATTTTGATATACATAAAATTAAAAAAATTATATATAAAATTTACACTTTATTTTGTCCGACAAAAAAGTGAATTTACTTTAATTTTAAATGTTATACAGAAAAATTTTAGGTGGAATAAATTTGTTTTATAGTTATTTTTGTAGCATTGTATATAAACTAAATGAATTTAAAAAAAAGTTCCATATTCAATAATCATTTAACAGATTTTTCGATAAAAGAATGTAGCATGAGCACTTTTGCACTTTATTTTGTCCGATAGTGTATATCTGAGGATAGCAAACTCGAACTTTCATTGATTAAAAAACTTGTTCCAGAAACGTTCCATTGAACGAGTTTGTTGATGCGTAACGCCAAAATTTTTGGTTGTGAATATTTTTGAAATTGTGTTTACAATTATAATGACATTTCTAATTAAAAGTCTAACGGGAAGACACAAATGAAATCCTTTCTAAAGAATATTACAATTCAAAAAATTTTTGGAAATGTATATTGAATATAAGATTTTAGTTTAGCTTTGTTCCATAGGAAGCGGGCCTTTTAAAATGTAACTTAAGCTCATCAAATACGAACCGATATTTCTGTAGATAACCAGTAAACATTAATTTTTATGTTGTACATAATTAATTAATTATTCATTTTTAACCGTATTTTTACAGAAGAACAATTAAAATTGGCATACAAGAATATGTACCAAAAAATCCTAAAATGTGCTAAAAAAGTGCCAAAAAACCTTTTAAAAATGCTAAAAAAGATGCTAGGTGCTAGATTACATTTTTGGGTTCTAAATGAGTTAAAGATGTTTTCTTATTTTCGTTTTCGCCTAAAGTCCAAATTGATGAAAAATCACCAAACTTACAATTTTGACGCTCTCGTCAGCGCTTTTCGATCCCCTAGGACTTTTATCCCCTCTCATAATAAAAGCTAAAATCATCATGCAAGAGTTGTGGATTCTAAAAATTGGCTGGGATGAGTCTGTACCTCAAGAAATACACTCGGCTTGGAAATCTTTCGTCTCTGATCTCAAACTATTACCTTCGCTTAAAATTCCTCGTTTTTATCTCGCTCCTGATTCTAAATCAGTTCAACCTTCATGGCTTTTGTGACTCATCAATTCGTGCTTATGGTTTTTGTTTTTACTTTCGTGTTAAAACTTCTTCAAAAATCTTTCCGCAATACCAAATCTGGAAGTCGTTCTGTGGACAGATTCGCAACTAGTTCTTCACTGGCTAAAGCAACATTCATCTACTTTGTCAGTTTTTGTTTTCAATAGGGTATCAGAAATTCAAGATCTAACTAATGGCTGCGTTTGGCGACATGTCCCAACCCAGTTCAACCCTGCTGACATCGTTTCTCGTAGTTCGACTGTGCAGGAACTCGCCTCATCCATCTGGTTCAACGGACCAGCATTTCTCGCTCTCAATCCTGTTCAGTGGCCCCCTACTAAAACTGATAAACGAAGAAAATCAGCAAGTATTCGACAAAGAAAAACGGAAAACCGTACTTCATCTTGAAACAAAATCTAACTACATCCTCGATTCTGTTGGAAAATATAGTTCGTACTTAAAAATCATTCGTATTATTGCCTGGATGTTTCGTTTTGCTCAAAAAACAAAAACTAATATTTCCAATTCTGACTATTTGCAGCCCCAAGAATTAGAAAATGCTAAACTTTGTATCGTTTTCAACATCCAGAAACTACATTTTTAAGATGACATAACTCGAGCTCTAAAGAAGAAAGATCCCCAAGGTGCTCTAAAGTGTCTGAACCCCTTCAAGATTCGTCAAATGGTTTCAATTTGCTCAAGATCGGCGGACGCTTGGAGTACGCGGCAATTTCAGAAGGCCAAAAACACCCCATAATCTTGCCCAGCAAATGCCATTTCGTCCACTGTTACGTACGTCATCTGCACATCAGTAACTACCACGCTGGACCCAAGGCTCTAATGTCATTGATTCGCCAACAATTTGGATCATCAACTCCAGGAATTTGTGTCGCAGCATTGTAAATTCGTGCCCTCAATGCTATCGCCCAAAGTTGTTGCAACAAATTTGCCTGTGGAACAACTCAACCCGTCAAGGCCCTTCGCAAGGTTTGCTGTCGATTTTTGTGGTCCAGTCAACACCTACCTAAGAATTAGAGGAAAGGTCCCCTACAAGACATACATCGCTATATTTGTTTGTCTCGCTACCAAAGCTGTCCATATTGAAGTGGTATCCGACCTGTCAACAGATGCCTTCATTGCTGCCCTAAAACGGATGATTGGTCGTAGAGGTCTTTCCACAGATTTATTCTGTGATAATGCAACAAATTTCGTTGGTGCAAACTCTAAGTTGGCTCAATTAAAGTCGTTCCTTTTTGAACCAAAAAATTAAAATTTTATTACAAATTATTGCTCGAATCAATTTATTAATTTTCGATTTATTCCACCTAGGGCACCACATTTTGGCGGATTGTGGGAGGCGGACGTCAAATCGGCCAAAGGTCACTTAACCAGAACCCTGGACAACACAAGGCTCAACTACGAAGAACTCGCAACGGCTATGATTGATATAGAGGCAGTTTTAAACTCGAGGCCCATTTCGCCTCTATCCTCAGATCCCAGTGACTTTGAAGCTCTTACACCAGGCCACTTCTTGATAGGCGCTCCCCTCCGTAGTTTGCCAGAACGTGACGTCCCTACAAATTAGATTAACAAACTTGAATATTGGGCCCGAATAAGCGCCATCAAGCAACAATTCTGGAAAAAGTGGTCCCATGATTATATAAATGAGCTCCAGACTCGCAACAAATGGACTAGCACCAACTCTAATATTGCTAATGGTTCCCTAGTAATCATCAAAGAAGATAATTTACCCCCGCAGCGTTGGCTCATGGGTAAAATCATCAACATTGTTCGTGGAAGAGATGATCGTGTTCGAGTTGTCGACATCAAAACTACAAAAGGAGTTATACGTCGCCCTATCCACAGACTGGCTCTTCTATCTTCTTGAAAGTGTCCTTTCAATGGAGCCGGAATGTTAGGTCACCGTATAATAATTACTAACATTATTATTTTGTTTTGTTTAAATTTTCCATTTTTTATTGTATTTAAATTTATTCATATTTTTGGCTCACTGTTGCCACTGTAATTTGTCATACTAACCACTGTACTTATTTTTGGTAATGACCCGTTAGTTTTTTATTATTTGTTTCTCACCCCAATTCTTATTACAAGCGTATTGTTGTTGCTCTTAAAAATGCAATTTATTTATTTGGAGACTTATTGCATGTATTTTGTTTTTGCATATTTTGAATATGTGTAAACAAGTTGAGTTAGTACATTGGAAGTGAGAAACAAATAATAGTACAACAACAACAGTGTAGCCCTTAATTACAATCAATTGTTAGGCTTAAGGAAATTATTTTTAAATAAAGAAATCATTGTCATAGTTGAATTCATTCGAACAACATCGCTCTTTTTATTTGTCGGTACCACTGTCGTAATATCTTTTGTTTTATAGATAATCACTGCCCAACAAACAATTTCAGCAACCTATAGACAACAATTCAAAGAACCTGAATTGCTCTATAACGTTGTCGGTGAAGAAAAAGCTCTTCATCGTACACTGGTAAAGAGTGGGTTAATAAAGACCTAAATTTTATATTATTGATTTTGTTTTCTGAGTTGATTGTTTGTTTCCGAAAAATCAATTCTCACTTTTAAAACATTTTTATCCAGCTCTACTGAGGGAAGATAGTAAAAGAAAAACATTTTATCTCAAAATTTCGACATACAGGACAAAAAACCACCGGACATAGCCTTTTCCAAAATATATGTTTCATTCCATGAGCAAACAAAAAATATTAATTTGTAAACTTGAGTAATTAATAATGAAAGAGCAAAAAAGTTCCATTTTAATTGGAAAAATTAAAAATTTTCTGATTTAAAGTGAAAAACTCCAAAATTTTCGAGCCAAAAGTGAGTATACAGTCGCATTAAATTTTGTTTTAAATGACAAATGTCACCGATTTTTTCATGGAATCATTTTATTACATTTTTAACACATTTAATAAAAAAATATCATAAATTTCACCGACTTCTCCGGGAATTTTGGTAAAATGTTCTCCTATTTTTACAATAACCCCTTTTACATTTGATATGTCATATTCTGATATGGTTGTCCAAATAATCTCTAATATACTTAATTGGATTGAGATGTTAAGGTTCTGAGAGCTTTTGAGATGTGTTGTTGTCATTTGTTTCCAAAATATTGAAGAGCCCCTAGAGTCTTAGTATAATTACAACTTCCAATGGCAATTAAAATAAAGTTCTGAGGTTAAAAAGGAAAATATGAAAATTCTCTTTTGACTTCATTATCATGTTAAGAAAATTAAGATTTCCACCAATAGAAGTTGCCAAACTCACCAAATAACGCTACAGCTACCATCAATTTTAACGGCATATTGGAAGATGTTTTAATTCTGTTCCAAATTATTTTTTCACTAAAATTACGTGACTTTTTCACGAATAAAAACCTTAAAATTTCGTTGTTCTCATAATCCATATGGTTATTCATTAAGTAGTTTCCATAAAATTTTTTCGAAAAAAAATTATAAGGAACTGACAAAACAAACTGTTCTAAATATCGTCAAATATCGTAGAGGATTTGGTATTTTATAGGGTGTAGGGATTAGATTTTTTAAATTTATTAATAAAAAAATTGAGTGAGACGTTGGTGTGAAGGGTTTGCAAGAATATATTTCATTTATTGTGTCAAAAATGGAAATTCATGGGCAATAATAGACTTTATAAGATGTCAATGACAGGTCAATAGACAGGAAAGAATGCTTTTCCTGTGATTGTATATGTAATAGATGTTGTTTTTGCCCCTTTGCAGGTTTTCCACATTTATTGGCATAGTGACCCAATTCGCCGCAATTAAAGCATTTGCCCTTCATTTTGTTCTGTCTGTTATTTTTCCTCGCTTTATTCTCTCTCTGAGAAGTTTTCATAGAAAAAATTTGCTGTGTTCTTGTTATTGCTTCTTCGCGATCAATTTTCTGTTTATGTCTATCTCCCTCTTCGAGAATTTTCTGTTTAACGGTTGTGTAATTGGGGAAGACATCGCGTGTCTCAATTGCTTTAACAAAATTCTCATAGTCATCTGGTAAACTGGAAAGAAGCATTATAATCAGGAGTTCATCATCTGCCAACTCCGTAAAATTATTAATATGCTGACCTACATTTCCTACACCAGCCATTGTAAGGTTCACCAACTTTTTGTATAGAGACACCTAAAGTGGACCTCTCGGCTTGTAGGTCTCCTCCAAACGTACCCAGGCATCTCGTGATGTCAAGCAATTCTTTATTAAGTTCAGTTTAGATGGTTTTACACAAAGCGGTATTGTAGCAAGCACTTTTTCATCTTCTGCTCCCCACGCTTCTCGATCCTTGTCAGTCTTAGCATCCTCGACCCTAACAACACCATTTGCATGCTTCCACCAGCCATTGTGTATTAATACACTGCGCATGTGTATGCACGTTGACCAAAACTTTACCAACAAAATTCTCCAAACTTTATTCACTTTAATTATATTTACCAGAACTTTGTTCTGGGCACATAACCTGTTTATTTTAATATAACAAAAGTCTTTATTCTATTTCAAAAGTAAATTAATATAAAAGTTTATCTTAGGCAAGTACAAGAATATAATGAATAATAAAAAGGATAAGACAAAAAGAGAACAAAGTAAAATAAGTTAACGATATTCACATTGGAATATAGAGTTGCCAATAGTTATTTATTCCGTTTTCCAACACCTTGAAAAAAATATGTGACATTTTCTATTTACAACAAAATTTAATACGACTGTATATTCACTTTTGGGTCGAAAATTTTGGAGCTATTCAATTCAAATCAGAAAAATTTTAATTTTTTCAATTAAATTGCAATTGTTTTGCTCTTACATTATTAATTAATATTTAAGGATTTTACTTTTACAAATTTTATCTACAAATCGCATTTATGTTCTGCATTTTAATAATAAAACAAAATAAGTCACAGGTGTATACTCATTTTTGACGCTCAGTGTACATCATACATGGGATTTTTTCATTAAGCATTAAAATTGCATTACCATTTAAATTTAGAAAAAATTGTAATGGAAAAAATTTTAAGTTTTCATTAAATGGAAATTATTTTTTTATTATAACTTTTATGATAATGGTAAAGCCGCATTCACAATGCTAGCAACATTTTCAGGGGGTGCTAGCAACCAATTCTTTTTAAAACTATATTATCTTGCGGCCACAATATCACTATTTGATCTTGTAGGGTAGAAGTTGGACCATACGCCACTTTTTTTTTGAGGCGGCCTCAAATTAAAACCACAATACATATTCTTTATTCTTTTTCTGAACTGACCAAAAACGGCGATACCGCCCCATCCATGGGGTAAATACGCCAAGAGGATGGAGCAGATTTGTCATTAGTAAAATCAACCAAAAAATTTAAAAAATAAAAACTTATTTTGCTGTTTTATACTTTAATTCATTAAACAAAGTATAATAAACCAGATATTTATTGTTTATTTAACAAAACTTAAGAAAAAAATTTAAACAAATTATTACTGATTTTTTCTATATTTTAACCAAATTTTGTTCTACATCACAAGCATTACATATATTTGGCGCATGTGCCCCACGGGCAGTTCTGGGGTTTAGTTTCAATTTTTTTCGGGCTTCAAATTATATTATCGAAAATATTATTGTCTTATTGTTCACTATTATTGACGTTCTAATACTGACCAATATATTTTTTCTATCACAAAAACTAAAAAAGTTAGAACAAAAAGTTCACACAGTGAAATATTTTCACAGCCCTTTGAAAAACAATTAATCATGTCTGCCTCCCATCATATGTAAAGTTAATGTTTCAAATTTTCAGGGATGATAGATAATCGATAAATGAAAACAAAATTTGATAATGCGATAAAATCGATTACTCAGTTTTCAAGTTATTCGCTATTGGCAGATGTGCCCCTATGGCGTATGATCCCCACCAGCCATTATGTATTAATACACTGCGCATGTGTATGCACGTTGACCAAAACTTTACCAACAAAATTCTCCAAACTTTATTCACTTTAATTATATTTACCAGAACTTTGTTCTGGGCGCATAACCTGTTTATTTTAATATAACAAAAGTCTTTATTCTATTTCAAAAGTAAATTAATATAAAAGTTTATCTTAGGCAAGTACAAGAATATAATGAATAATAAAAAGGATAAGACAAAAAGAGAACAAAGTAAAATAAGTTAACGATATTCACATTGGAATATAGAGTTGCCAATAGTTATTTATTCCGTTTTCCAACACCTTGAAAAAAATGTGTGACATTTTCTATTTACAACAAAATTTAATACGACTGTATATTCACTTTTGGGTCGAAAATTTTGGAGCTTTTCAATTCAAATCAGAAAAATTTTAATTTTTTCAATTAAATTGCAATTGTTTTGCTCTTACATTATTAATTAATATTTAAGGATTTTACTTTTACAAATTTTATCTACAAATCGCATTTATGTTCTGCATTTTAATAATAAAACAAAATAAGTCACAGGTGTATACTCATTTTTGACGCTCAGTGTACATCATACATGGGATTTTTTCATTAAGCATTAAAATTTCATTACCATTTAAATTTAGAAAAAATTGTAATGGAAAAAATTTTAAGTTTTCATTAAATGGAAATTATTATACCCTACACCACTTTAGTGGGGAGGGTATATTGGATTTGTGCTGATGTTTGTAACATACAAAAATATTCGTCCTAGACCCACCTTAAAGTATACCAATCGGCTTAGAATCGTTTTCTGAGTCGATTAAGCTATGTCCGTCCGTCCGTCCGTCTGGCTGGCTGTCCATGTAAACCTTGTGCGCAAGCTACAGGTCGCAATTTTCAAGATAATTGGATGAAATTTGGCATGCACATTTTATTTGACCCAAGGACGAAGCCTATTGAAAATGGTTAAAATCGGTCCATTATTTCACCTAGCCCCCATAGAACAGAACCCCCCGAAAAGGGCTTCTGAGCTCATAATTATGTTAAATATACAGATATATCGATAATATACGGCACAACTAAGTTTTATAGAAGTCTTGATGACCCTGCCAAATTTCATAAAGATCGGGACCCATTTGACCCTA